TGTAATAATCATACACATGTTACGTGTAAGGTTCTGTAATGAACGTACATACATGCATACGTTACATGTAAACATAACTAACTGTAAATGTAAGGATCTGTAATAATCGTACGTATGTTACGCGTAGGTCTGGACCCGCAGTACGATGTTGCTGAGCTTGATCAGAAGCTGACGGAGACTCTGCAGGCTTCCTCCGCGCCACCCCCGCATCAGCTTCCTTCTCTTGACAGCTTCCTTTTGAACGCCAAGACAGGTGAGACGAGCGGGAGAGGTTACCGCTGCTAACGAGCGTTAATCACCGGCGTGCTTTAACGAGTGTAATCGTCGTTGTCTGTTAACGATCGTAATTATTATTGTCGATTAACAAGTGTAATTATTGTTGTATATTAATGATTAAATTATGATTATTATTGTGTATTATCAACTATAATAATAATTATTATTATCTATTATTGATTATAATTAAACAGATGCTCGCTTGTTGTTCACGGATGCTCATTTGTTGGTTTCAGACGTGCACTCGCCACGCGCCGCTCCCACGCTGCTTCACTTCTGTGCCCTCTACAATCTCTCCCAGCTGTGCGCGGCACTAGTGCGCATGCCCGCCGCCAGGGCGGCGCTGCGCGTGCGTAACCGCGACAACGAGACGCCGGCGGAACTCGCGCGCAGGCTGGGACACGGCGCGGTCGCGGAGGTGCTGGTGGCGCCCCCTGCCGCCGAGCCCGCCGCTGCGCCTGCCGCTGCCGCAGATGCTGATGAGAAGGAGGAGGTGAGATGCCGGGGTTGAGACACGAGTTGAGACACGAGTTGAGACAGCAAGGTTGAGGCACGAGTTGAGACACAAGTCGACACATGAGTGAGACATGAGTTTAGACAGCAAGGCCGAGACACTAGTCGAGAACGAGTCGAGACACGAGTTGAGACATGAATGAGACACGAGTTGAGACAGCGAGGTGTCATAACGTTTAGTCAGTAATTGCACGACTTTCGCTGGCTTTACACTATGGAAAAGTCGACGCATTGATGAACTTTTCAGCATTCTGTCAACCTCTCTATCAGATGTTCAAAGTTTTTGCGTTATTGACGCGAGTCTAGAAAATTTTCAACATTTTATCAACCTCTCTATCAGTTCAAATTTTTTGCATTATTGACTGCGAGTCAGCAAACTTCAACATTTGCTGAGTGGTAAAAACTTATCAACTTGCTGACCAAAAGTTGATCAAAATAGAACGAATGTTCTAAGCACTCATCAACTTGCTATCGAGTTGCTATTGCTCAAATGTTACGTTTACACAGCCGATTTTCGGTCGATTAGTTGAAAAGTTGATCAACTCGTTAACTTTTCAACAGAAAGTTGATAGTGTAAACCCAGCTATAGGCATGAAGTTTGCAGTTGAAGGGTGCAGCCGCGGCTGTGGCCTGTAGAGGGCGCTCTAAAACATGCCACTCCCCAGCAGATGGCGCTGTACAACATTGGCTAGCAATGTTGCGTCGTTGCATGCACCCTACTAGAAGTTGCATCGTGTTGATTTGACGCATTTCGTGTCGTAGCTCTCATTTCTAGTTCGCCTCTTTTTTGCGTGATTTTGATTTCTAAGTTGTTATTGTTGTTGTTGTTGTTGTTGTTGTTGTTGTTGTGCATTGTAGGCCTCTGTTGAAGATGTGTATGAGCAGATGGGAGCCGACGCCCAAGGTACATACTCGTAGCCTCGTTAGCGTTAATGAACTCGTTAGCATTAACTTACTCGTTAGCGTTCAGTTACTCGTTTGTTTTCACTTAGTCGTTAACGTTCATTTACTCATTAGCATTAATTTACTCGTTAGTGTTCAGTTAGTCGTAAGAATTCAGTTACGCATTAGTTTTCAACGTTCATTTACTGAAATACTGAAAACTCATTTACTGAAATACTGAAAACTACTGAAAACCGTTATTTTTGTTTTTTATATTTTTTGCCAGTCTTATTTTCAATCTAAAGAAGACGTGGTCTTCAGTTGTTTTCGTTGTTCTCTTTATATATGTGTCTGTATTTATACGTGTGTGTGTGCGTGTGTGTATGTGTGTGCGTGTGCGTGTGCATGTGCGTGCGTATGTGTGTGCATGCGTGTGTGACTGTGTATATATATATATATATATGAAGATTGAGATATTGAATTATTGACAGTAATCACCTAGCTTATAATTGCAGATGAGGATGCAAAGGATTTCGATGATGAGGATGAGAATGAGTACCTCGCGATGGATGGGTTGCTAAAAGGTGACAACAACAACAACAACAACAACAACAACAACAACATGCGTGTGTGTACGTGTGTGCGTGTGTGCGTGTGTGTGCGTGTGTGCGTGTGTTGTGCGTGTGTNTTGATTATCTCTCATATATTATATTATATATTATATATTTCTATATGTATATATTTTATCTACTTCATTCTATCAACCCTGACCAGTGCATGACTGATGACGGTTCTCGTGTTAGTCATCTTCACACTGTCAACGGGTCCCACCATTGTTGGTGTCTACATTATTACATATGTTAGATTACATATTATTACACAGGAGTTACATATTTTTAGTATTCTACATTCAGTAACATTTTTAGAGCATTTTACGTTCTTGGATTTGAAATGCTGAGCCTTTATACGACGAGTGTATACGATGAAGACTATTATATTCTGATTCTTACAGCTTTTGCATGATTGAAGATGGAATCCCATTAATTTCACCCAAGTGCGTCTGTCTTGTTGTGTTTGTGTGCTGTGCCATGTGTGGCATGCGCGGCCGTGCATTGAACTCTGTCATGGTACGTGTGTGGCTGCTATGCGTGCGTGCTTGTCGTACGTGTGCCATGACTGCTGTGCACGCGCGTTTGTGTGCACGTGTGGTGATGGGTGTCACTTGTGGGGCTGTGGGTTGTGTGACTGTAGTGTGTGTGCTGTGCGAGCGCCGTTGGGCGGTGCAATGCGTGCGTGTGCTGTGATGAGTATGATGTGCGCGTGCTAGTGCGCGCTGTAGGAGTGTGTGCGCACGTGTGCGATCGTGTGTTGCGCGTGGGCCGCGTGGCTAGGTGGTGTGGTGCGTGCAGTGCGGGTGTGTGTGTTGTGCGTGCGCGCCGACCTTGATCGACGCATGCAACACACCCCCTCATTCGTGTTTCGCAGACGCTGCCTGCCTCGACCCGGGACACCTGAACGGCCTCCACGAACCTGGTACGTTACCTTCCCAGCGGTGGTGAGGGCACGACAGCCGTAGAGCAGAGCAGTGGCAGACATAAGATACTAGGGAGGATGGAGGAGGCGGGGAGGGGGAGGAGAGGAAGAGGGAGAGAGCCATAATAGTTAGGAGGTAGCAGCAGAGGAGTAGAGGGCAGGGAGGAGGATGAAGAGGAGGCGAAAGAGGAGAGCAGGATGAAAGGGAAGAGGAGGAGGCGAGGAATGAGAGGAGGAGGGATTGGCGAGGGAGGAGGGTGGAGGCATGAAGAGGAGCGGAGGAGGAACCATAGCTACTCAGGGTGGAGTAGCTACAGGGCAGACGATGATGAGTTAGAAGAAGGACGGTGGGGGAGCCATAGTGGTCAGGGTGATGGAAGAACAGGAGGAGAGCGGGTAGAGGAGAGGAGGAGGAGCGAAGGATGAGGAGCGACGAGTCTAGAGGAGGAGGGGAGAGGAGGACAAGAGGGAGGAGGGAGGAGGAGTAGGACAAGGAAGAGGAGGCAGGAGGAGGACAAGGAGGAGGGGACGCAGCAGGAGAAGGAGGGGGAAGCGAGCCATAGTGGCTAGGTGGAGTACGCTACAGGGAGAGGAGAGTAGGAGGAGGAGAGGAGGAGGCAGAGAGAGGAGGAGGAGGAGGAGAGAGGAGGAGGAAGTGCCGAAGGAGGAATAATACAGAGAGAGTCGCTAGCTGGCCCCTACCACTGCAGCCCTTGGAGCGAACACCACCGAAGCGAAGAAAAGTGAGGAGGAGGAAAGGGAGAGAGGCGAAGAGCGAGGAGAGCTGTAGAGGAAGACCGAAGGCGGGCGCTGGGAGAGGAGTAGGACAATAGACAAGGAGAGGAGGAGGCAAAAAAAAAAAAGCAAGATAGGACAAGGAGGGAGGGAGGAGCACAAGGAGGAGCGAGAGCGGGAGGTATGAAAGGTCGTGAGGAGAGCGCGAGAGAAGAAAAGGTGGAGTAGGCGGGAATATAGTAGCTGCAGTCCACGCAAACGCAGAATGGCAGATTCACGGCGGTGAGCCTGAATCCATCTACGCATCTTTGTTCACCCACCCCCCCCCCCCCCCCCCCCCCCGCCCCCCCCCCCCCCCCCCCCCCTCGCTGACTAACCTCTGGTTGATCCTGCACCGCTCGACTGACCCTCTTTGAGTCTGTTTCTCGAGCGTCATGTGTACCGAGCCGCTGTTCACTGTTTTTTCAGTCGAGCGACCGGAGGACGGTCGGACATTCCGTCTGTCCGCCCGCGGGCCCGCTCATACGTCACGCGCTCGCCAGCCCAGTTAGCCATCTATAGCACCACTGACTCTCACAATGCAGAACCTGACTATTATTATTTATTATTATTATTATTATTTATTAATTATTATATTTATATTTATTACTTATGATTATTGTTTTTATTATTGGGATTTATGTGGAAATTCGATCTTAGATCCTATTTCCCCTTAGATCCCTTCTCTCTTAGATCCCCTTCCTTAGTATCCCCTCCCCTTAGATCCCCTTCCCCTGTAATTCCCTTCCCCCTTAGATCCCCTTCCCCTTAATCCCCTTCCCCCTTAGATCCCTTCCCCTTAGATCCCCTTCCCCCTTAGATCCACTTCCTTTTTAGATCCAATTAACAATTGTAGATAGTATGAAGTAAAATAAGTAGATTGTAAAGTTAGCTCCTCTGATTAAATCCAGACTTTCTGCTCAAAGGCTCGATTTTTTAAATAATATGGTTACTTTATTTATTAGAGGGGTTAGATAGGGCAATTAAAAAATTCCCCGCATCACTAATTACGCGATTAATTTATAATGATTTGCAGTGTATCAGTAATAAATCGAAGTAGAATCGAACGTGAGCTATGAGGCAGACTCAAGAGGAAACCCCAACGTGTCCTTGGGTTAGAGGTATCCATTCTATAGAGGTGACCATTCTATAGAAGTGTCCATTCTATAGAGGTGGCCGTTCTATAGAGACCCCGGTGCCGTTCCCCTATCTAGAGGTGAGTTCACTGCTAATAATTGCCGCCCACCGAGGAAAACACCAAGTGTCCTTTACAGACAGTTTTTTTTTTTTAACAAAAGTGAGTGTCGTTGTTTGTGCTTAGAAGCGGGGGGGGCGGAAACGGGGGCGCGACAGCTAACACAAAACCGACTGTATAAGTGAATGTTATCGCGTAAAAACACCCAAAAAAAAACAAGCGGTGGGAAAACGAGGAGCAGCGTTCTCGTGCAATCTACCGTAAAGAAAATTTTCGGCGCCGTCCGCGTTTCTCGTTAAACGGCAGACGGCCTAATACCATCGTGCGCTAACATCTAGTTCGGTCCGCCCCTGTTTTCGTTCGTTTTTTTCTCGGCCGGTTTTTCTTTGGCGGCGGGGAAAAGCCGAGAATGCGCGTACTGCCGTCATGAATCGCGCCAGAGCACATCGCTCAGGCTCGCAATCACGTGAGCGACGCCAGATTTTACACTAGAGCGGCTCCGCAGTAAGGAGAGGAGGGGCCGTTACGTTTTTTGGGGGGTCTCGTAGGTAGTGGAAATGGGTTGTAAATGTGCACGTCGCGTGTGTGGGTGGGATAATGAATGTTGTAAATCG